GGACAACCTTTTCTAAAAAAAAAAAAAAAAAAAAAAAAAAAAAAAAAAAAAAAAAAAAAAAAAAAAAAAAAAAAAAAAAAAAAAAAAAAAAAAGAAGCCCAGTTAGCTTTATCTAATTTGTATTAATTATATTCTGTATTCCATTTGTTTTGTGTGTCATTGAATACATTTGGGGAAAAGATAATTTTTTTTTGTTCCTACACACATTTTTTCATTATAATTGTTTCTATTACAGAACTAATTAAATATCTTAAAGTTCTCTCCTTTAAATGTAATTACCTTTTAATGAAATGTATACATATTTCTCACTATTACTGCTTAGCCTGTAGCTACTTTTTCTATTTTTCTTCCACTTACTGCTACAATTACACTTTGCACTTAAATAATGCTATTAATATCGGAATTTTGACAGAGGAAAAAAGTTCACTCTAGCTATACACATTGAATAATCACAGGGTATTATAACTTAGATTTCAAGAAACAAGTCTCAAATTTCTCTACCCTGATATTTTGATGCCTGGTTTAGAACATTTTATCTGTACTTACTGAGTATTTACATGTCTTAAATTTCTCTGGAAATGCTAATTTAATAATCAGTCCAACAAAATGTCTTCAGACTGGAGGAATCTAGAAGGGTTTTCTAAGGTCAGGCTATCTGACTTATTACTGACTTGTTCCCCTACACTGCAAACAATCTTCTAAACTTACCATAACCAAAACTGGATAACATGTATCTTAACTGTAAGATACATGATGTGGACACCACTTTAAATTGTTTCAGATTGCAAAATTTAACCAACAGCCCTCTGAAACTGTCTTGAAAATGCAGACTCTTGTGTCTTGACTATGGAAGTGAGTATAAGACATTATTTTCCTGACTGCTAGAACTTTCCTTCTTCTTTGTGTAAGCACTGTCTCATGTGGTTATTAAGTCTTGGGCCTAACACTGGAGATAAATTCTGGCTGTAAACCATTACAAAAAGTTTGATGGTATACTCTTTCTGCAGCTTGTTCTCTAAACCTTCAACAGAGACTTCTGGGTACAAGTTATGCTGTGAGGTTATGTTTGAGAGGGTGTGGGAAGCATGAACTACCTCATTTATTAATAAGATAATAATAACTCCATTAATTTCAAAAGATAATGGCAGAGATTAATAACTGCTTTGACATTAATGACTGGAAAACATGCTGGTTTTGAAAAGTAGTGTGATAGAAAGAGTGAGCAGCATTTATTCACCTTCAGAGGTACTTATATCACATAATGCGAAATCTCAGATTGGGCAGTATCATTCCTTACTAGAAAAAAAACTTTGCATTTCTAATTTGGATGAATACAACAGAGGAAGAAAAATCTCAGATTTTGTAGCAGTGATAGAGAATTATATTAATTCTTTATGTCTCATACTGTCAGATGGTTTAAAATTTAATAATCAGAAATGTAGATGAGCATTTGAAGGCTATTATTCCTGGTCATCAATGCTGAAGAGCCAATAAAATATATTCTGAAGTTACTAAGAGATTATTTTCTGTCTTCTTATGAAAGAAATACTTGCTATTTCAAAGTCTGTACTGAAACCAGTTCCAATCATTAAGTAATCTTAATCAGAATAATCTTGAGCAAGTTTTTTTTTTTTTTTTTTGCCAGGCTAAATGTCAAGGCCAAAACCAAACTATTGAATCCTTCTATTTTTAATTGGATGCACAGTGAGGCATGAACATACACAAAATGCAGAAATAATGTTTGAAAGTGTAAATTTATTCCAGGCTAGCTTTCTAAATGTTTGAAAATACATGAAACTAAAACTGCATAATCTCTTTTATGCATGTATAATAGTACAGGTATTATAGACTTACTGTTGTTAAGATCTGGAATAATTCTTCAACTATATACTTTTCTCTTTTGACATGTACAAATGCTCTAAATATGCATAGAGAGTTCAGAAAAATTCATTGTAGATCTCGTTTCAGTGTAGCTCTAATGTGGATTGAGGATATGGAATGTTACCATGACAGAAGTAAGAACATATCCCCTGCCTGTCTGTTTTTACAAGTTGAACACAAAAAACATCAGCTAAAATAAGGTAGAGAGCTATAGTTTAAAACTCATCAAGAGCATGTTAAATTAATGTGGTTTTGTCTATACATGAAGAGTAAATAAGTTTAGCACTTTATTCTCCTGCTAATATGCAGGAAGTTATATGGCTGTTCACTTTGATTTTACTTGGAGCTGCAGTGTACACTGAACCAAAAGAGAAGGTATTACAAATATTTGATAAACAATGCTTTGTGCAAAGTTTCTTCCTCTTCAAAAACTCTCCACGAGAAAAAGATACTGGCAATTTACTTTTACTGTAGTAGATCTCACTTAGGAATAAATGTGTGAGAATGATGGCTGAAGATAGATAAGGTCTCTGTGCCTTCCTTTTTTAAAACTAAAGAAAACATTAGTGATGAAATTTTTAATGCTCTGCCTCTCTAATTTGTACAGTTGGATGCATTTAAGGCATATTTTCATATAACTACAGAGTACAAAGTGCTTACTTTGTGCTTTTTGTTCTGCTGCCCCACAGAGATGTCAGGTGGTTTTTGTTGTTTTGATTATTGGAAAGGCTTCTATTTGTTCTTTCATAAGGACAAATAAACAGAGAACAGCCATATCCCACTAAATGACATAAAACTCAGCAGATTCCTAGCTTAGATATAGATGTTGAATGGTTTCCGATACTCAGCAGATTCCACATCTGCTGCTAAAAATCAGGCAATTACAAAATATACGGTACTATCAATATTATTTTTGAGTATTTGAGTAGTTTATTTGGAGTGTTTTTTCTTCTCAATGACAATAAGTTTACTTTCAATTTCCTCATATTCCAACTGCCATTTACACATTTTCTCAGGGACAACTATTCTCAGATTCAACGGTACAGAGTTCCCATTTCACAACCTGTCAAAAGGCTACTCAGGCAGAAAAAATCAACCCATAGGTACTCTTTGTAGACTGAAAATTAACCTACTCATAATTGTCTCCTCATGGAAATTATCAATTCACTGATTGCTGAAAAAGGTTGCCAGTGCTAACTGGAGTTCTCAATGATCACTGAAAAAAAAAAAAAAAAGTAATGCCAGTAGCCTCTATTTCATATGAGCTCAGTAAATGTTGACTTTGTTCATACTCACTTGCACTGGCTGCATAATCATTTATCTTTTTTATCTAATTATAAATCCAGTAACCAAATGCTTGAGTCCTGTATTTTGAAGCCACACGACAGGATTACTTTCACTTAACCTTCATTATTTACAATGTAGCTTTCCACATATGAGGTAGTTATCCTAAGCTTCCTTTTTACAGCAGAGAGCTAATCACTTATTGATATTATTCATCTGACCTGTGTTAGACATCAGTTTTAGGATAAATCTACAGCTGCTCAGATTAATGCTAGCTAATGTGACTTTATCATAGAGTAGTAAGAGTATTAGAGACTTAGAAATTAATGTAAATATTTCTAATATTTATCTTCAAGCCTCCTTTGATGAAATGCAGAAAATTAGAACTTTTAATGTCTTTTCTGACAGAATATGCTAATAACAGAAAACTGCATAGACCAGACTCTCTGGGTTAATCAGGGTTCTCCATAAGCTGTGGAATCCAGTGACTATTAAAGATTTTTAATTTCTGCTCAATTTTTTCCTATTTATAGTTATAAACCTATTATTAAGAAGAATTTATTTCCTGGATTATTTTAAACGACAGATTCAATACAGTGGAGTATAAGATTCAGTTATATTTAACCTTCCTTCTAAGTGGTTTGACTTGATGATCTGACCTCTTAATCAAGGATTTTATGAATATGATGAGTTGATGTCTATGTTTCTTAAATATTAATGTCAACAATTTATAGAACTGAAGAATTTTTCCACCAATGTCTTAAAATGGTAATTCTGATGATCAAGTGAACTAACTATATTAATATGACAGCAGTATTTCCATGTGACTCTGCACTAAATCTGAGATTCCTTTCCAGCAAAAAATATTATATTACATATCAACTCAATTTAAAGAAATGGAAGCAAAACATTAAATTGGTATTCAGTTAAACAGCAATGCAATTTTTGTAGGATTAGGTATCAATTGAAATCTGTTATACAACACATGCACATTATCCAACCCTTGCTTTCTAACAGTAGCTGCCATAACTACTAAAATATTTTCCTGTAGGTTTCCTGATTCAGCAGTCATAAATATGCACAGCAGTCATAAATACTGTTATATGTGAAAAATTACAAGTTGCTACAAATAGTGTAAAAAGCTACAAGATGCCATATTTTTTCCAACATGTGGTAAAGGAGGGATGGGTACAGGTCAGCGAATACTATTACTTACTAAAGACTCACACATATAAAGAGTTTTAAATAGATGTCTTTCCTACTCTTGCCAATCCATGGTAAAATTCAGACCATTGAATCTACTGTTTATCCTTGGGACGTTAATGTCTAAAGACAATGATTTTCCCCAACATTATTTGTCTAATGGTCTGTTCCTTGTCAGTCTGCTTGCAGCTGGTCTTCAAAGACTTAAGAGATGACCAATTCAGCCCCTTTCATTGTACAATAATCTTTGAAAAAAATGAACACAAGATCTCACCAATAAGTCCTAAAATAAAAAGAAGTCTACAGAGATCACTATTACTCACCAGATGGGGCATGGAGAGACAGTCAACCTATGTGTAAAACTCCAAAATAAATATCAAGGATGTGATTCTCTGGAAATCCATATACAATATAGAGTAAGATGACTGAAAGAAGTGCACCTTAAGGTGTATTCTTCTCCAACATAATTGCTGTTGGGCTAATTTTTAGTGCTTGTTATCCAGAATATTAAATTTTGTAGGCCCCCTCTTGAATATTCAGCTACTATATCTGTATAAGGATGCCAGGCGTTCTACTCAGTCCTCTAAACCTTATGAGATAATGTGTATAAATTATATAACACAGATGCTGACCTTTTTTTCTATCTGTAAGTAGGATTTTTCTTGCTTAACTCTTCAAGATTCTTCCAAGTTTCTTCAGCTTTCTGTGGAAAGTTTCTACAGGGGAAGAAAAACATGGCACATATTACAGATAATTGTATATATAAGAGAGAAGAGAGTGGTGTTTGTGCAAGAAGACTAAACAGCAGAATTATTTAACTTGCATATTTGAATTTGTAAATACAAGTTTATAAACAGGACAACTTCAAAATAAAGCCTCAAAATAATTTGTCAAATGGAGCAAAAATACCAGAGGGGGAAAAAAGCCACATAAAGATGGAAAAAAAATTTTTAAAGTTTGAGATGTATTCATTAGAATTATCTACTCGATCTTTTCTTCATTGATTATCACCCAGCATGTTCTTCTGAATCCCAAATCCACAAAACTTATCAATTACTGTTAATTTAGTCAGGTATAAACTGCATAACTTCATAAGGTCTGTAATGTTTGTGTAGATATTGCACATTCAGTGTTTTGGCATTATGGCTTCTGTGAGGGCTCTGCTACTGGTTGGCCAAAAGAGTCAAAGGTGTTTGCATGAAAGCAGTTGACCCTGAATGTATCTTGGCTGAGGTACCCACTTTTCTTTATGCAAGGAATAGAACCCCAGCCAAAATATTGGAGATGTTACAAGAAACTTAGATAAATTTAACTTTCAGTTCTCATTCCATGGCAAAGAAGAGAATGCAACTTTACAAAAGTAATCTCTCACTGCTTCTTCCCTCACTGCAGCCTATGGCTGTAAAATTCAGGAATAAAAGGGTTAAAAGATTTTATTTTTTTTCTTAAAATGTCATCATGTTCTATATTTCTTCCTCCCAAAGAAGAGAAAAGTGCTTCTGTATACTGAATAAAATTTTATTTGAACATTCAGCAAAGTAAATGATTACTTTGGATAATGTTTTATAGTGATAAGATGTCAGCTAATAGACTTGATTAGAACTGAGTCAGCAAATAGTTTTCCTTTTTCCTTTACAAACTCGAGTACATGGAAATGGCTATAAAATGCTGAGAATGGACAGCAAAAATGTGTCTATTTTTGTCAATGTGTAAAATTCCAAGTCAGGAAGAAGTCCATCTTGCCTTATAGGGTGAGTTGTTGTAATTGCTTATAATAAGATAAAATATTCAAAACTACCTTCTGTCTTATACAGAACAAAAAAACACATTTCTGTGGTTTCTCTCAAACTAACTCTGCCTTCTTTCCCCCAATAGAAAAAGGTAAAATATTTGTGCATCTGCATGTATTTGAGATAATTGTATTTGTGAGATAAATTAAAGTCTGGTATTTTTCTTGCTAATGAGATAGTTATTTGAACTTCAGATTTAATACCAACTTCTTCCGTGTCTTATTTTTTTTATCTATAAACATGTTGGAAACCTTTACAAGGGAAATAAATATTTGAATACCTAAGAAGCATGCCCACTTCAGGAAAGATGATCTTTCTTTTCTTTATATATCATTATTGTCTAAGGTCCTGATCTAGACTGGACCCCCTCAATACTTGCAATAATGTATTCCACTGTATTTATTTTCAAAGATATTTTCACTGCAGTTCCTAATGCATTGTTTCATATGGTCTACTTTTTTCACGTATTTTAATTTTATATACCACTTGTAATGTCTTTTTTTTCTCCCCACACAATTACCTTAGCAGTGAAGCAAGACTTGAAAAGGTGTTCTTCTGATCACCTTTCAGTCCAGTAGAGAGAAAAACTTCTTTCTGCTGGACTGAAAGAAAGTACTATTAAAATTTACTGTGAATAAGGGAAATATTCCAATCTACATTATGCCATATTCAGAATAAGTAAGATGAATTTAGATTAGCTGGAACAAGAACTTTGTATGTTGTTTGATTGTTTCACAGCAGGAAACAAAAATTTTGCATGTGGAACACGCAGAAGGGAGGAAAGTAGCAAGGAGATAGGCTGTATTTTAGCTGCAGAATTGAATAAAGATACCTTTTTAAAAGAGCTACAGGATCTCTACACACTTATAAAAACTTATGAAACCTCTTGGTTTTGAGTATAGAATTTAGGGTCAAATTATCATCCATGAATGATTGCTTTGATTTCTTCATTTACATGCAATGGGCATTTGACACAATCATTTGACATCATTTCAACTTATTGTTAAAATGGAATTCTGATATACAACTGCATATTTGAAAATTATTTTGCTGTTTTTTTCTTTTCATAAAACCAAAGGTTAAAATTAAAAATGGAAAATCTCATCTCACAGTAGACACTGATTTAGAGGAAAAAAGTTATTGTGTCCATTTTTAGTAATTTCAGCAGATGCTGATAACATTTTAGCAAAAAAATCAGGTTTATGACATCCAAATGCAGAGGCCAAAACACTGGCCTCCTTATCATAGGTAAATTTTTCACTTAGTTATGTATTATTTTCCACATGTTCACAAAAAACTTTACAAATGAGTAAAGAAAACTTCCAAAGGGAATAAAGGAAGGAATTAATAATTAGTCCGTCTGACTCAAAATATAACAGATATAAGATAGAACTACAATATTACTAGTAAAAAATTATTTTGTCTGCACACTCTTAAGGTGTAAGTATTGCCAAATGTGCTAGAAAGGCCAGATGTTGTGTAGTACTTAGTGTGCTTTTAAGGGATGCTCTTATAAACAAACAACTAAATTAACACAAACTCTTATTTGTTGTTCTAATTCCTGCTCAATAGCTACTGGTGGTTTTAACTATCAGTTCAAAAAGTACTTCCCTGCTGTCACACAAAGAAAAGATGAGCTCTTCAAACGTAAAAGTGGATTTCTGCAAATGTTGCTGTTATTATAGAGTTTCTTATTTGGATTTTTCATAGTTCTAAAAAAGGTTTGTTGCCATATTAGCTATTTTGGCCATTTTGGCAGAACCCAAATGATTGCATGATCTATGCCATCAGAAAACAAACCAAAAATAAGGTAGTACACTTTGTCTGCTTCCACACCATGATGTCTGCATGCAGAGACCTGTTGGTCACTGCCTTTTAAAAACCAGAGTGTTCCTGAGAATTGTTCAGGGGGGTGATAGAGTGATAGTTGGCACAAGATAAATGTTTCTTAGAAAACATACAATTTATGTGTCTCAAAAAATAATTTCTTCAAGCAATATTAATTGTGTTAATGAACATGTAGGACTGCTGTTTTGTAGACCCAGCTGGTGTAGGTACTCTGGCAGAAAAGTTTAGTGTAAACTGTGTTACATCTAATAGCAAAGACAGTACACAGAAAACCTACTTTGGAAAAACAAGGCTAAAACACTTGCACTGGAGAGATCATAAGTGGTAATGTGCCTTTTCTATGGAATTTAAAAAAATGTTTCTTTCTCTTGTGTACTATCAGAAGTTTTCAGACTAGCAGCATGAGGGGAAGCAGTGTGTGGCAGTACCAGTGATTACAAGAAAAGTGAAACAAGGCCAGGAACTAGCAGACAGTATGAGACATTTCCTGCCAAGCTGAGAATTTTGCAAAGCAAACTTAGAGCTGGCTTCCTACTTATCAGCACCAGAGGATATCAGGACTGATGCAAATTTCATGTATAAACCTGAAATATGCATTTAACATGGCAGTCAGTGCACTGATAAAACAAAAGAGATGCAAAGGCAGGTGCTGTTTCACAGGAAAAAGCCTACAATCGTGACTGTGCAACAAGTTTCCAAGAGATGACTGAGAAAGAAGGTAAATCTAATCTGTATCCTGTAAATTCTCCAGCTTTCCCACTCCCTCAGCTATCCATTAATTTTCAGAGAAAAATGAATATCACATCAAATCTTGAAGATATGTTCTCATGTATGCAAGGATGATTCCAGAGTTTCAGCTAAAATAATTTCTAAAAGAGATGCATTCATAAACAAAAGCACTTTTCCAGTCCATGTTCTCTGTGAAATGAAAGTGATTAAAAATGCATTCTTCAATAGAAGAATGGGTTTTCAAAAAAACTGATAAAATATCAAGTTTCTTGTCTTTACCAAATACAAGTTTTCTTCTAATTCATCTTAATTCAAAAAAGCATAACTATCTTATGCACATCTTCTGTGCTTCTCAGGTATCATCACAAACCTTTATATAAGTAGTCCTTGATTTTAAAGAACTTACATAAAATCCTACCTATATAAATATTTCCTTATGCTTTATAAAATTTCTTATATGTTGAAACCTGACAAACAAAGTAAAATATCATGGCTGCTTAGTGCTCTAAATATCTAAATATTTTCTATAGCAATCCCCTTATAAAAGTTAGGTATGTGACCAGGGAAAGGAAATTAACTTGCATGTTTGCAGCTCACAGTGATGTACACCAGAAAAGTCACTGAAGATTGCAAAAAAAAAAAAAAAAAATACTATGTGCAAAGAAGATCAGTGTTAGCCCTGCATCAGGACTAGGGTAATGCAAAGATGTCTTATATTTTATTTCTTTTCTGAGATATAGGCCTAGGTCCAGAAAAATATTTTAATTAAAATGTGTTAATTTGTCCCTCCAAATTTGGATAAACTACTGCATGAAACTTAGGAAATAATGTTCTGCTAAAATTGCTTTTCTATAAGGAGAAAGTTACCGCTTGAAACCATTCACACTTGTTCTGACTTGATCTTAAAAACAGGGTTACTTTTTTTTTCTCAGTGCTTACTGCTACAAATGTACATTAATGTTGAGGGAGGGAAAAAAAAGGACTACTATTCTGCTAATTCAGGTAGGAAAAAGGGTCAACTTGGAGTAGGGTGACTGATTTCTGTCAATTATCCTTGATATTAATTCTAGTATTAGAGTGGCAATTATTATATAACATCCATTGAAATCATTGCATGAAAACAATTTCACACCAGCTTGATTACCACCTGTATTCTCCTGATAGATTTTTTTTTAAATGGTAAGCAAGAAAAAGAATTTTAAAACAAGTAAGCAATTACCCAAAACCCAAACCCCACAATATATTGTGCATTCAATGAAGGAATACTTGAGGGATCCATCCTTGAGTGACTAAAACCCAAAAATAAACTATGCCTTATGTATGATTATGTACCTCTGGTCATTGTTGTT